AAGCAAACACATTATACAATACAGCAAAAATATTACTTCAAAATATTATTTAATACAGTATTTTAAGAAATTACTAGCTGTTACCTTAGCGAAAGTATTGAATGAGTTAAAAATAGCCTCTACTCTCAGAAGTTAAATTTCCCCTAAATAATTTTTTTATTGCAAATTTCATTACATGTATGATCTTTTCCATTTTTGCCTTAACAGCAGGAGGATTCCAGATCTACTTTCCGTTCTTAAATTTCCGAACCTGTTCATTAGTTCAACAACAGATGATTTTACATTGTGAATCATATTTTATGTGATGTTGCAACTTGAATCGTGATGAACGAAAATTTACACAGCTAAACTATACTGTATTTCATTCACTTGTCACTCATATTTCGTCTATTTCTCTTGGAAAAAAACGCTTTAACGTTGAAAATGAAAAAATTGGAGAAAAATATAACACGCACTACTTTAAAAAAGAATTTTTACGAAATATTTTCATAAATCAAGGAATTGTAGTGATATACAGGGTGCACCGTAAATGTTGCGACAAACTTCTAGGGGAGGTAGGATACATCGTAAGGATTAAGAATTGCATAGGAGCCTGTACCCGGAAATATCAGGGCTAAGTGGTAGCAGAGGTAGAAGATGGGAACAGAAGCAAGAGTGATTAATTTGAGACATTTATCGGACATGAATACAAATGGTGTACGACAGCTTAAATGTTACAACAGATGCTCGAAATTTGCACCATCAGACCCCAAACATGCCTGACACCGACGGACCATTTGAATGCCACGAATTATTTGATCTTTCTGGAGCAGGTTCTTCCCGATTTCCTTGAAACAATGTTCCACCAAATGTGAGGCGCAACATGTGATTCCAACTTGATGAGGCCACTACTCATTTTGGACTACTCATTTTAGCCATTTGAACAGATCATTCCCGCATCGATGGTTTGGGCGTAGTGGACCGGTTCCCTGGCCCCCACGCTCACCGGATTTATCGAACCTTGATTTCTTTTTGTGGGTACCATCAAAAGTGTCGTATATCACGATCCTGTTGTGTCTGAAATGGATCTCCTGGCAAAACTCGCCTACGCAGCCGCTACAATCAAAGAAACCCCCGGTGAACATGTCCAGCAATAAATAGTCCGTCGGTGTCAGGCATGTTTGGCGTCTGATGGTACAAACGTCGAGCATCTGTTGTAACATTTAAACTGTCGTATACCATTTGTATTTATGTCCAATAAATGTTTCAAATTAATCACTCTTATTTCTTTTCCAATTCCACCTCTGCTACCACTTACCTTTGACATTTTCGGGCATGGGTTTCTCTGCTATTCTTAATCCTTATGATGTGCGCTACCTCCCTTAGAAGTTTGTCGCAACATTTGCGGTACACCCTGTATAGGGAATAATTTGATATTGCATGTATGCGTTTCTACACGGACCAATGAAAATGAGTATTAAGTATAGGATATCGGTAAACTGGATTGGACAATGTTTACAAAATTTTAATAATCATGATATTTTTTTCGACTTTGAGCTTGCAGGAGTCGTGCTTGAAATATGCTTGTCATTTAAAATAAAATTTCGCCATGTATGCAACTCTGGATCTTATCTTCTTTAGATGACAAACCATCTACGTTGCAATGATTCCGTTAAAAATATCCCGAACTTGATTTGCAATCACTATGCAAGTAAAATCGACAAATCTCTTGCGTGAAACAAGGAATTTTTCAACAGTTGAGAGCAACGAAGTCTAAATCCCATTAAATGCTGGTTTACCGATGTTATTAAAATAAAATAAAAAGGACCAACGAGTCAAATTCTTTTGACTAATCCATTCCAATGTGTAGTAATACAAAAATACTCCAGTCTATGACATTTCAGTTTACTACAGATCAGTTCAATATTTAGAATTCTTTATTTTAATTTGGTTTTGCTGAGAAATGTGCACACATGTTTACTTTTCTTCAAATTTCCTTAAGTTATCAAAAAAAATAAAGACCTACGCCTTTACTAGTCTTATCTTTTTGAATAGAACATTATCACACCCTTATAACATGAACTAAAAATACTTTTTTGTTGTTCAATAAAAATAATGCAATTTTGCTCGATAAAAAAGTAGATAAAACGTGTACATTAAAAAAAAGAGGGGGACAAGGACGGGAAAGAGAGATAAATCGATTCATCACATAATCACAGCAGTTTTCTTGCAAACATGTAAACAGAAAAATAGTTGTAGACTTGACATTTAACATTTAAGTCCCAACGTACAGTCAAAGAAAGGCCATAACACCAATTTTTTTTTTTCAATTTTCTTTTTTGATAACCCATTCTTTGAAAACATAGTTCTCGTATCTTGAGATTTCGTAAATTTTAATTAAAATATTGAAGATATTTTATTTGTAAAGGAACAGAAAATATTACTCTTTCCATGAAACACCTGATTATGCATTTGAAATGTTTCCTTAAAAATATTATATACACCTTGAATTGATGATACCCATTCTGGGAACGAACTTTTGACCATATCAACTTAAAACTAATTGAATGAATTTGTTTTAGAGCAAACAAAACTTTAAACAGAAAAAAAAAAGAATATTTTAATTATTTCCCATTGCTTAAAATTACAGGATTTTAAAAGCTTTTAAGAAAAAATAGAAAATAAACAGCGCTGGCTTTGTCTCACTTCAGGCTTTCCCAGATGAGGCGTTTCTGAAAATCGTCTTATTTCGGTCTCTTAGTATGAAGTAGATAAAAAAGCTTCCATTTCAGCCTTACTTATTCAAAAGCGATGCTAATGTAAAAACTTGAAGGGCAAGCGACTGTGCAATAAGTATGAATGATTTCTTCACTCTTTAAATTTCGTATTTAAACACTATTTAGATGCACGTTAATGTCGTTAGTAGTAATATATAATATAGTATGAAAATATTTTTAAGAAATTAGTAATACGTAGCAAAGCACATGTTATCATTTCGTCCAGCCTTTGTCTTTGGACATTTGTCCCCAATCGTAACCGTATCTGCGCCAAGTATACTGAAAAGAAAAAACGGCAAGGGGAGGGAAGGCCGAACTGTCACTCTTTATAATTTTTTTTTATATAAAAATCTGCAGAAGGAAAGAAAACGTAAGGACTGGCACGATTTTTTATCAACTCCCAAAAGCCTGAAGAGAGAGAAGACTTGCCACTTGGAGAAAACCTGAAGTGAGAAAGGATGAAGTGGAGTATTAAGAGTAATGCTTATGCATTAAAAAGAAACGAAATGGTTGAATAACAGGTAAATAATATATTACGTTAGAAAGGTTTTTTTAATAATAGAAAAGTGCTGCGAATGTTCATAAAAATTATCAGCTGGATATGTTATAAATATCAAATGTTTTAAAATTATATCATTTAGACAAATTATGAAAATAAAATTAAACTAAAGAGACCTTCAATGGTCATGAATGACTTAAACGCTATTGGTTAAATTTTTAAATTAAATTTAGATTGGAAGACAATGGTGTCAGTAATGGCTGTTGGTTATTAGTGACCTAGAGGCTGTCTCCTCTGCTCAGTTAATGGGTCACTAGTGTAGAGTGCTTTGATAATTTAAAAGACATTTTAAATATAAAATTGAACCAAAGTACATCAAGAATATCCAAACTTATGGTTTTGGATGTCATATGGCTACTGGAAGTCACCTCACAAATCAGTGGCGTGAGGCAACGCAGTAAATTTAGAAGAGTTTTATACATAAAATTAAATAGACGGTATAAAATTAAATGGAAGGATACCGTTGACCACCATCAAACCAATGGTCACCTGTGACCAAGTAAGCAGCTGGTTTACTGGTAACCTATGAATTTCAAATCACTAGTACAGAGTAATGCTTGCTTCAATAACAATACTTGACAGTGCAACTGGAAACAATTTAGATAAACATAAACATTTATTTAAACAGCATAATGTAAACAGCATATTTAAACAGCATAATGTAACGTAACGCAACAGTGAGATAACATAATACTCCATATACGCATACTGTATGTATTTATTTTTTAAAAAATCAATATTTTTATTTAATTTTTGAGAACGATTAACTATTTATCGAAATTCACTGCATATTTTTCGAAATACTATTTTATTATTGTATTCAAATTCCTTTGAACGACGAAACGCAACAGAGTTTTCATAGAAGTCACTGCTGTCTAGGGACTACTGTGGTGTGGTGTGGTGGTGTATTTAATTATGGCAAAGCACACTAGGGCTATCTGCCTAAGAGGAGGGATGCCTTTCGTGGAGGACTTTCTAAGGGAAACTGGCTCGTATACACGTTACACATGGGGAAAACCACGAAAACACCCATGCAGCCAGCCCGTTCGCGGGATTCGAACCTCGGACCGAACTACCAGTGTTCAGCGACTTTACCGCTCGGCCGCTGGTGGGCCCTCTAGGGACTACTGTAATTGACAGTGTCTTCTTCGCTTTATTTTCAGTGTGACTCTGTAGATTTTTCTGTTTTTGTGATATTTGAGACGATATCCGCATCACTGAAGGAATGAAAGCCCGACTCAGTCGAATCGCAATCGAACCATTCCGCATTGATTTCCCAATCGACATTTTAGAAGAATTTTATATTTTCAATTTTTTTAAAATACAGCTTCAGTTATTACCCCGACTTCTTTAAATTTAGATAAATCTCTGACTATTATATTAGAAAGAATCTTTCTTTATGATCGTATCAATGTTATTGGGTTTACTTTTTACTACTCTTGAGCATAACGTTGAGTGCGTGCGTAGATATTGTCACGTACGAAAAATCCGCAAGCCGGATAATCGGCACTCAGATACTGTTTGTTCTGGTACACTGTTTATCATATTGTTCTGGTATACAGAGTATGCTTGTTTGTTCATTTATTAAAATGAAAACAAATATTTATTTCCGACATAAATTATTCTTTTTTAAGGAATAAACTCTAAAACTGAATCAATAAAAAACCAGGGAAAAAATTACTTACTTTATTAATAGATGAGTAATTAGGTGTGGAAGATTTATTGGAGTCATCAATCAGGCTTTGCCTGTCCTCACTTCCTTTAGAGTTTATCATTCTCAATAAATCCCTAGAGGGGAAAAAAAACTGAAAGTGAAACATTTAATTTTTTTTTTAAGTTCTAAGAAATATTTATTGCAGAAAACAGAATTTACTAAGCATTTGCTTTTTGTAAGATTATTTTCAGGCCCACGCCGAGAATAGGTGCGAGGTCGTGCGACGCATGACAGCGCCGAATGAAAAAGGCGCCGGGCAGTCATTAAAACAAGCAGTCCGTCTCGCAGCCTGCTTCCTGACAGGAAACTTCTTCTCTTATTTGAACACTTCACCTGGGGGTCAGCTCAGATAAAATCTGGAAAGCTACTGATTAGAATCTGTACCTAGGCAGTCTCGGCCACGGATGTTTTTGAAATCAGTCTTCACAAGACTGAAGTCATCGCTGGCGATGGCTGGTTCGGGCTCGACAGGGACCATATGGTACTGTCTTGTCCGTTCCGTTGATTGTGGTGGAGCTATATAGTCAGATATACATGATTGTCCGGGGCGAAACACCCCCGTCGGTAGCTTTGGCGAATTCAGCCTTTAAACTGCTTGAGGTTTCCAGTGGGCGCCTGGAGCCTCAAAACTGCATATTCATCCTTGGTTTCCCCTATGGGGCGCCTAAAGCTGAAGTCTATATACCATGACGTAGTGTTAGCAGGTCGGATTGGTGGCCTGGTCTGTCTGGCGAATTGTTTAAATGACTTCGTTCTGCTGTCTGGGGTTGGGGCTCTGTTGATGGTAGATGATTTTACCATCCCTCCAGGACGGGGCTTGGAATGCGAGTTGCTGAGTATTCCTGTGCAGCCTCAAGCTTCTCAGGTCTGAGTGCCCCTTCCTCCTAGCACACTGTTTTATTTGACCAAAAGGTTATAATCAGGGCAGGAGTTCGTTTCTGGTGTTCTTTTCTGTCTTATTCGAACGTGAAAATACGTGATGCCGATGCCTGTTACTAGAACCATGGAAGGTTAAGTTTTGTTAGGCTAAAAACTGAATGGCATAGATAATCCTTTCAATAACATCGCGCTAGTGCTTAGTTTTTTATATTAAATTTTGAAATTCCATATCAACAGGCTTATTCTTTCATAATCGTTCTAAGAAATCGGACCAAAGTTATAGATTCCGGAAATGTATTTTATATTTTTCATAAAGTTTCATGTGCTCATTTGAGTGGTTCCAGTCATTAAATTCAGAACTACTCAATTTTACGTTGCTGAAACTGTTAAAAATTTTGCAACAAAAATAATAAACAGAATTCTTTTCAGCAGAATTTAGCAACCAATCCCTTTTAACTCTTTCGTTGTTTGGCAAGATTCGACAAAAGTACATCTAAAAAAAAATTATGTCCATTTTTGTCTTTTGGGAAACTGAAACTGGAAACCAGGTTTTGATAATATTCAGGACCATTTTCTATTAAGGCTTGAGCTTGGGATAGCAATATTGGACTTTGGCATAATCCGGAATCATAACGCACAGGTAAATGCGTGTCTACTGCAGAAATTATAGAAGTCATTAGTATTTCTTCTGTTTTTTCGACCGGCTGCATTGAAATTAAAATTAATTCCAGGGTAAAAACACTATATAATTTTTTCTGATTATCAGGTTCCTTTGGTACTTTCAGTGGTAGCTGAGGACATTGATGGACAACTCATGCTAATAGCGTCAGCTTGGGTATTCTCTTTGTTTTGGAAAAAATGAGTAATTTTAAAGTTCCCGTTTATTAAGTCCTACTCTTGCTTTCTTTTTCTTCATTAAATTCTGATACCTAGATAGTTTATTCTGTTCTTCTTTCGACATCTGAGGAAAAATGAAGACATAAAAAGTGGAAGTAAAAATAAAAGTAGAAAATAACTATTATAAGAACTATTACGTAAAACACTTCTTAAAAACACTCGGTAAGTCACTGTTGGAAATATTTTACCTTACTTCTGAAAAACTGAGTATATGTTATACCATCGCTGAGAAAATATATGAACTATTAGATCAACACCAAATAATTCAAGGAGGTTGAGATACTCTTTTGTTTATTAAAATAAATAAATATAACATAAATAAATTTAAAGTATGTATTTAAGACTTAATGACATAACGAAACATTTTCCTTCGGCTTTTCGTATAGCTAAGAATCAGAAATGACAATTTTTAATTTCAGGATACCTTGTATATTTTTACTTCACTTCAAATCTCAAATAGGTATATTTTAAATTCAGTGGTACGTCGTAAATATGTCAATCCTTTCTTCTCGAAAGGTAATAATTTTTGGATTAATAAACAAATGGTTCATGTAAAATAAATCGAGTAATTATGCTGAAAAGCTAACCTAAGTTTAACATAATATGTAACTGCACTTACCTTTTTTAATGTAGAATAACAAAAAGCAATCACCAAACAAAAATCGCAAAAAAGGTAAATGATGCACAAATTAATACGATTGCAATAGTATATACAAAATAAGGATTAAGCAATTTGTCGAACGCGTCTATGGCTCCGGCGTCTACCCTTATATATGCATCGGCATCAGGTATTTTCGTTCACATATATTTGCAAGATCAGCTCAACTTATGTCAAAAGCTACAAAAAGCATTAACTGATAAAAATCAAAGTGATATAAATAGTATAGATCTTATGCATGAGCTGCAGTTCTTGCAAACTTTTGGAAAAATTGTAGCTTCGCCAGTTGAAACTCTAAGCTATATCACTATCAACAACATAGCGGTGTGCAGAAAATAATTTTGGATATATCCCTAGATATCAGTTTTGTGCCCTGTTGTAATCACAGTTTGAAACTTGTCGTAAACGACGCTAACAACAACTTATTCGGTGCAAACTTATTAGATGCCCAAATTAATGTATTCTTAATTTTAAGATAATAAATAGTGTTAAACAATATATTTGGCATCCAATGGTAGTGTATTATTTCGCTTAGCTTGCAGTGTTACTTTTTTTTATAACATAAATATATGTATCATTCTTCAATAAATATGTTCGAGTGGGGGTTTTAAAAAAGCACAAAATGTTGGCACATTTAGACAAACTGAAAGATAAAATATAATTTTTTTCGTTTTTCATATTATTATGCTAACAATACTTCATTTTAAGTGTTAACCATAAGCAGTTTCCTATTAACATTGTCACTGCATAAAGGCGCTCTCTAGACATTTGCACGACGGCGCATTTTTGTTAATTTTTTCGCATTCGTAAAGAATTAAATAAGAGTCAGCTTTCTTTAAAACGTCTCCACGAAGTCCTTCGTCTTGGCAGATAGACCTCGCATGCTTTGCCTTAGTTAAAATCGATCAATCGCTAATCTGGACTAAACAAGCAAAGAAAATCTCCATATGTGTATCAGTTGAATGTCATAATTCAAATCCTTTCTTGCACATTATTTCATTTATTTAATTTCTTTGTTTTAGTTAATGTAATATACGGTGTATTTCCTCAGACAGTCTTTCACGAAAGCATATCTTCCATCATCGGTACAATCCTCGCGGTGCTTTTCCTAATCAATTAACCAACGAATCATCTAATTCTTAATCTTGGTGCAATGTAGTAGTAACCCCGGTAATCCGAAATTTAATTTTTTAAAGCTACCAATGGTATTAAATAAGAGTTTCGTTATATGATGTTTGAGTATCGATGTAGAAAATAAATATGGAATTTTTTTCTTTTATAGCACAGCATGCACCAACCAGTATTCTACAGAAAGGTTTGGTTTCGGCTCAGATGAGTATGCAAAGAACACTAGGACTATGCGCCTAAGGGCAGAGATGCCTTTGTGGAGGGCTTTCGAAGGGAAACTGGCTCGTATACGCGTTACACATACGGAAAACCATGAAAACGCCCATGCAGCGGTTTTACAACTCTGCTGCTGGCGGGCTGTACAGAAAGGTATATACTTAAGTATTGCCTAAAGGGCATTGTTAACAATGGGCTATTCTCCTATGATGATGTCATTAAATTATGGCTTTTATAAAAATATTCTTGTTTTTAAAATGTAATTTACTTTCATCCTTAGTTTATTAAAATAATTGGCCTAAGAGATATATTTCTTATATTTAGAAAAAAATTACAGCGGCCGAAAGGAGCTGATGCTGTCTCGCTGTGGCGACGTCTTTTCAGAGAAAACTAGTTAATGGATAAGTTTTATAATGGGAAAGACCTAAAAATTATTTCATCATTCCTTTCTCTTTAGTAATATTACGTATGAAAATATTCTTATTTTGTTACTTGTAAAATAACATCCACTGCTCTTTGAAAAATGTTGTCCATGGACAACATTTTTCAAATAATATATACCATATGAGTCAAATATTTCAAACAATATATGGTATAACTGAAAAAGGGACAGAATGAATGACAGAATGGAAGGTTGAATTTCAAAATGGCAACTTGTTGGATGAAGAAAACACGACTGCTTACTTAAAAGAAATGAACAATTATTATTATATGATGTTTCAAAGAATGACAACATTGGAAATTAAACTGAAACGTTATCCCACATTAAGAATAAGAATTTAATTCATACTAGAACCGGTCCGGACAAATTATATTCTTTGGATTATGGCAAAGTACAAGAGAGTTATCTGCCTGAAGAGACAGATGGCTTTGGAAGGTATGTTTTAATGGAATCTGCTTCTTGTTCATGTTACACGTTCGGAAAACTACGAAACCTTCCACGCAGCTAGCGTATGCGGCGAGATTTGCACACGGGTCGAACTGTATAAGTGCTTAGTGATTTTATCCCTCGGTTGCTAGTCGGATACTTCTTCGGATTGTCATATAAACAACTAAACACATGAGGTATTGACTTCCATTTTACCGCATAACTCTGAGAAAAATTTTGAGATTTTAGAAAACATTAACCATATTTCAGTACATCTGATAGTGTCTTGTCAATTAAATACTTGCAAACCTGAAATTGGAATGTATAGAGCTGCAATCAGATTTCTACTTTTTTAATGCATGAATTATCATATCCATTTTAAATAAAAGTTTATTGAATAGAAACCTTTTTTTTTTTTTTTTTTTAAT